GCAGCTGTTGAGAAGGAAGATGGCAAAGTAAGCCCTGGGCAGTGTCGGGCAGAGGGTGGCAGAGGAGAAGAAACTCGGGAAGGCAGGGGAGAGCCATAGCAGGCTTTAGGCGGGAGAGTGGTATGGCTGAATTGACGGCAGAACAGTCTCAGAAACGGGGAGCACTCCACACATTTAGAAAATCACTCAAGAGACTCCCTTCAGGCAAGAGTGAAAGGTGGCCTGAAGGTCGGTACTAGCAGGGTAGGGGAAAGAGATCCTCAGCGGGCAGGAAGACTTTGACTGAAGGACGGCCTGGGTGTAAGGGAAGTGAGGCGAGCGGGCAGTCCCAGATCTCCACTTTCACCGACTTGGGGTGCCACTGGTCAAACCCAGGAAGAGGCGCTGGGGGGCTGGGAAGAGTGGTTTTGGATTTGGAACCCGGCCAGTGGGCCATTGAATAGTTGGACTCTGAAGCACGGGAGAAGGGTCTGAGTTCGGGAATCCTCCCTGGAAGACTGTGCAGTGCAGAGCTCAGGAGCCACCACATTTCAGCACTGTCGAGGCGGGTGGCCGGCAGAGATGGCTTAGCCCAGCCAGGAGGCAGGAGGAGAACTGATGTCTTTTCCAGTCCGCACCTATGGGCCTGTCTTAGTCTTTTTAATGTGGGAACGTGTAAGGGGAAACAAAAAGAGAGAGAGAGATTCCTGAGAAGAGGGAGAAGAAAGAAGTGGATCTTTCTGGCATTTTCTCTTGCCTGGATAAATATTTTAAATTTGTGAATGTTGAGAATAAAATTCTTCAAAGCATTTTTTTTCTGGAGTGCATTTCTAAATATGGCTAGTGTCATTCTGAACTGACCAAAGGGGGGGGGGGAAATGGAAATGGTTGGGCTTTGAACTTCATAGACAATAACTTCACTAATCTGAAAGAATTTCCTGTGTGAATTCTCAACATTATAAGGATAGATGTTTAGATTTACTTTTTTTTGGAGTGGAGTGGAGAGAATTTTTTCTGGTATTTTCCTCTTAAGAGGAACTTGTTTGTGGGGTGTTTATCTTTATGTGTTTTTATTTTTTAGCAACAGCTTTATTGAAATGTAGCCGACACACCAGTTTTCCCATTTAAAGTGTATAATTCTATGGTTTTTAATATTTTTGCAGTTCAATAGCCACCACTAGTAAATTTTAGAGCGTTTTCATACCTAAATGAAGTCCTTTTCTCTGTCGCCATTGTCCGTTCTCCCATCTGCCCCAGCCTAGGCAGCCATTTCACTCCTTTCTGTTTCAGTGGATTTGCTTATTCTAGAATTTCATATTAGTGGAATTATACAATATGTGGTCTTGGGCCTGCCTTCTTTCATGTAGCAAATCTTTTTAAGACTTGTGCATGTTATAGTGTGTTCAGTATTTCATTATTTCTTATACTTGAATAATATTCCATGTGAGGCCCTACTGTATTTGTGTATGCTCTTATCAGTTGGTAGACATTTGGGTTGTTCCCACTTTTTTATTACTGTGAGTAATGGTGATGTGACATTCATGCACAGGTTTTTTCGTTTCTCTTGGGTACATACACCCAAAGAAGTGGAGTTGCTTGGTCACATGATTCTATGTTCAACCTTTTGAGATACTGCCAGGCTGTTTTCCAAAGTGTCTCTACCATTTCTCTGCTGAGAACGTGGTACTGTTCTCAGGAGCCGTAATGAGGATTCCACTTTCTCCACATCCTTGCCAATACTTATTGTCTGTCCTTTTTATTATAGTTATCCACTGGTTATAAAGTGATATTGCATGGTTTTGATTTGCATTATGTCTGATAGTTAATGATATTGTTCATCTTTACATGTGCATCTTGGCCATGTGTATATATTCTTTGGAGGGTTTGTCTTTGTTTGATCATCAGTGTTGGCAAGTTTAACAGATGAACATAACTGACTAGGAAAGATGAGTGTGCGTATACCTGTTGGTCTGTATGTCTATATAGTGAAAGATGCCGGAAATCGATGTGAAAAGAGAGGTCAACTCCCCAGAGAAATTGTAAACTCTCTGTACTCTTCACACATACCAAGTCTGAGCTTGACAACAGGGTGCTTGATGATCCTGTTACGCATCTGTGGCTTTAGAAGTAGAGGCCATGACTCCTCACAGCACCGGTCTCAAGGCCACCATACGGCAGCCACTGTCAGACCATGGCCTGGCAAGCAGGGAGGTAGCTTGCAGTAGATTCTTCTGTGAAGTAGGTGCAGAATTTCTTTCCTTTCAGGCTGAATGATGTTCCATTGTATGGCTATGCAATATTTTGTTTACTCATTCATCGGTCAATGGACATTTGGTTTATTTCCGCCATTCACTTATCATAAATAGTGGTGCTATGGATACTGGTATACAAATGCCTGTTTGAGTGTCTGCTTTTGGCTCTTTGTCTATCTGTTCAGGAGTGGAATTGCTGGGTCATGTGATAGTCACATCCGTAACTTTTGGAGGCCCGCCATCCTGTTTTCCACAGTGACTGTACCATTTTACATTGCCACTAGCAAGGCACAGGGTGCCAGTTGCTCCAGGTCCTTGTTGACATGTTATTTCTTGTGTATTTTCTTTTTTAAAGAGCTTTCCTCGAGGAGATGAAGTGGTATCTCATTGTGGCCTCGATTTGCACTTCCCTAATGATGAACAATGTTGAGCATCTTTTCGTGTGTTATTGGTCATTTTCCTATTTCTTTGGAGAAATGTGTCCTTAGTCCTTTGCCTACTTAAAAATTGGATTATTTGTTTTTGTGGTTGATTATAGGAGTTCTTTATACTGGATATTAATCATTCCCTTTGAATGTATAACTTTCAAGTGTTTTTTTCCCCATTCTCTGGGTTACCTTTTCATTCTGTTGATTAGTATCCTTCGATGCACAAAAGTGTTCGTTTTGATGACGCCTAATTACTTTTTTCCTTTTGTTACCTGTGCTTTTGTTATCATATCCAAGAAGCATTGCCAAGTCTAAACCATTCGTTTTTAGTATAGTTAATGAATCTTACTTTAGAAGAATTTTTCTACTTGATGTTGAAACTCTCCCATTATTGGCCATTCATAGACTTACTCTCCAGGTTGACTCTGGATCCTTTTGACATGAGTCTTGGATGGACTCCTTGCATGCTTCTTGGATGGACACTGGCATGCTTGTCTTTTTGTTTGTGACCCCAGATATATGTATGTGTGTGCTTGTGTGTGTGTGTGTGTGTGTGTGTGTGTGTGTAAAGTTGCTATTTCTAAAAGGAGCTCTGCTTTGGAGATGAAAAATAGTGTTAGGGTCATTCATTACAACTGGAATGTGACTCTTAGGTCATTTCAGTAAAGTAAATGTGTGCTTTCTGGGTAGAAAAGGGTAAATCGTAACTTAAAACTGGTATTTCACATTCAAATGAAGGATTAAGATATTGCTACTTCTTTTTATATATATATATATACATATATATATTTACCTTTTTAATTGACAAAATGCCAGAGAAGTGCAGCCAGCCCACTGTTTAAACTTGATTTAGTCCTTCTCTTTGGGGTTATGCTACCAACTTTAAAAATGGGTTCATTTATTTATTTATTTATTTGTAGGAAATTTTTTTTTTTCAATTTTGATAATAAATGTACCTGCATGGTGCTGAATGTAAGCTCTAAAGCATTGATTGAGTGTAGCTTCCTTCCTTGCTTTTGTTCTTTGTGCCTCATAGCTGGACATACTCATTGGTTTTTGACTTATTCTTCCATTAAATATTTGAAATGCGTCACCCGAGTGCATGTGTATCCATATGCCTTACTCCCCTCACAGTTTGTTTCTCCCTTGTTTTTCATCTTGGCAGTCATTTTACTTCCAGGCATTTTTGGTAGCTGCTTCCTTTATGATTTGCTTGTTTTTGTTTTAAAGATCTTCTCAGATCTCACTGAGGATGCCAGTTAGAATTTCTTTGCACATGTGTCTGTGGGACCTGAAGTATGTTCTTTTATCTTCATCACCCTTTGCATCCTCCTGGCTTTTCATTCATCAGCAAAGAACTGGGCTGACAATGTAGGTCATCTGCAAGAGTTTTCTTTGCCAGTAGTTTTTTTCTCTGGGGGGGGGTTGGCTGCTTCAGTGACCAACAGTGAGCAGTGTGGAGAGCAGCTGATTAGCCCACCTCCCAGTCCTGGTGTCTGTACCCTACCTCAGAGCTGCCTGCGTACAGGCCCCAGGGCGCCGCCGCCTCTCTCCCCAGCACCTTTGGCCCTGCATGTTCTGGGAGGTGTCCAGCTCCTCTCTGGTTCATCTTGTCCTGCACTTTCCTCTGTCTTCTAGAAAGTGGCCAGCATTTAAATAGACTTTCTCTCTGTGCCCTCCTCACGATTTTCATGCTGTGATAGCCTTGTGAAAGGCTTCACAGTGAGTGACATTGGGACTGGGGCGTGTGGGGAGGTAAGCACAGGTGCCTGTTCCTTCAGCCCGGCATAGTGATGCCTGCTGCTGTGTCCTGGGTCACTGCTGACAGCAGGACTGCTTTCGCTTCACTCTCTCTGTTAGCTTAATGATCCAGATCGGTAAGAATTGTCCAGAGTTCACAGCTCAGAGCTTTCACATCACTGTAATATGTGATGCCCCTTACCCTAGGACTCCTGGAGTTCACTAATTCAGGGATTAAGTCACTTGACAAGACCTTTCTTGTGGCGCACTCTCTGCCAACAGAGAGACGCCACAATGTATCTTCTTCTGGACCCTTTGTTCTTCTCCCTCACGCGCCTGCCTCCTGCCTGCTTCTCTCTCTCCCCCTGCTTGCTTGCTTCTCTTGCTCGCTCTAGCTTGCACTTTCTAGTGTGTAAGTAACATTTTTCTGGCTAGGCAGAGGTAATAAGGCCTGCCTGTCTTTATTTACAGTATAGGAGTGATCATAGCAACATCACCTTTTCTGTGCTTTATATGTGCCAGACTTTATTCTAAATGTTTTATATGTGTAAACTCACTTAACCCAATGGCAGTAGTTACTGTTCTTATCCCTGTTTTACAGATGATGAAACTGAGGCACAGAGAGGTCAAAGAACTTCCCCACGGTGACATAGATGGTAAGTGGCAGAGCCAGGATCTTACCCAGCTAGTTGGTCTCCAAGGCTACTCTGCAGACATTGTGCTGTTGAAAGGGAACCCCTAGGTTCCTCAGGACAGCTGCTTTTCCATATTGTCACTTTGGGTATAAGAAAACCTTTTTTATATTTAACTTTTATCTAGTTTCAAACATGTCCTTTGTTACTATTTGAAGTAGAAATTACTGATGATTTTGAGTGCAGAAGAAATGTTTAAATGATGTCGTCAGACCTGAGTTCAAGTTTAATGGGAATTTTTGTAGTTAACGTGTTGAAAAGATACAACTGATCTGCAAACATGTCCTTTTTTTGCAATGCATTTGTGAAACTTAGTATGAAAAGTATGAATACAGCACTTAAGTCTTACAATCTTGGCTACAGCTAACTTCTGAGGTCTTTCACAATGCATATTTATTTCCATGTAGCATGAATAGTGGATTCATAAATGGTGAATATTTCCCCCAATTAAAATTCTTTTTAGAAAAATACAAAGAAGAAATGTCCTTAAATGGATTGAACGTATTTGAATCCTTGAGGCAGATAAATATGGGGGCAGGGGAGCACTTCAAAATCAGTAAGACAGGCATTGAGAAGAATATTATTTTAAAAACTAATAAAAGGGATATAAACGGGTGCTTCTGCCTGTTGTGTGAATTTTAAAGCTTTTTATCACAGAAATCTTCAGTCACATATAACAACAGAGCACGTGAAGTGGTGTGATGAACTTCACGTTCCGGTAGTGTTCTTGGCGAAATCCCATTTGAAAACAGTGGACTTTGAATGGTGTTTTTTTTTTTTTTTCCCCAAAGATTGACTTATTTATGCGTACAGAACCGGGGCACAGGCCAGAGGTAAGGGAGGTGAGAGGAGTCACCAGAGTAGAGTGGGGAGCAGATCAGGCAGATCCATGAAGTACACTGCTGAGGGGAGCAGTGGGGAAACAGGAGAGGTCTGCTGCGCCATGTGGGTCAGCTCCCTGGCCAGGGATCTTTGCACAGAAATACCAGATCTGTAAATAAATAAAAGCTAATTTTCATCTTAAGGGTACTTTTGTTCTTTCTGTTTGAAGAACCCCAAGCTTGACTGTGAGTCTTTAGTGGTTAAAGGCAACTGCAGTATAAGCAGAACTTCTCATTGAATTGTCCACCCAACCCAGCCTCTGGCTCTCAGAAATAGACATGTATCATGTGAGAAAGGATTTCCCTTTCTGGATTTTTGAATGAATGGAAATGTTAATGAAATGGTCGAGTTGCTTTAAATGGTGTCTGTATAGTCAAGATCTTCAGGTGTTGATGCTCTAGTGTCCTCATCCCTGTATCTTTGGGGAGGTTTTCAGCTGACAGGTTTAGTTCTCAAATTACAGCATGAATCAGAGTCACATGGGAAGCTTGCTCAAAATGCATACTCTCTGCTCTTGTTAAAAAAAAAAGATGTAACTTCTATTTTGCTCTGGAAGTCTTATGTTTTTTAGCTTTTACATTAGTTCTAGAATCATTCTGAGTTATTTTTACATTGTATGATGTATAACTAAAAGTTGTACCGATTGTTCCAGTATCATTTGCTGAAAAGACTGTTTTCTCCACTAAGTTTCCTTTGTACCTTTTTGGAAAATTATTTGAGTAATTTTAATATAATAACTTCAGCTTTGTCTTGAAAAAAAAAAAAAGATGTAAAATTTATACAAATTAATAAAATGCACATTCTTTGCTCTTACCTATAGAAGATTGATGTTTAGATTTGAATTTTACCCCAGGAATCAACATTTGGTTTATTTGCTTATTGACCTTTGAGAATTAACCTTGCATAGTCATTCCATTGAAAGGAGTAGAGGCCCGATTCTGCTGTGAGGAGGAAGTCCTTTCGTCGTGATTGGTGTCATTGGCTTATTTCTTTTTGTCCTAGCCTTAATGTGAACATGCCCTCTTGCCAAGGAATGACTAAAAATGTTTCCTTCTTAATACCATGTCAGTAGGCGTGTGATCTCCCTGAACACAGAGGTTGTCTGTACAGTGCACCTTTAGTCCTGGGCAGTTCAGCTTTGATGCTTGTGGTCTGCGGACCAGGCCTCGAAGGTATGGGAGCATAGGTTGTGGCGTGGGCGCAAGGGGCCTGTGTGCATTTTCCTGTGCTTCCATTGTGTGTTGGCCTGAATTGTAGGCCTCTCCGCTTGGTTACCTGCTGGGCTGTCACCAGGCGCAGAGTCACCTGTTGCCTGCAGCTCTCCACAGCCTTCCTTTGGGCATGCCAAGTCACGTGCCAGCTCCTCGGACTCCAGTTCCGAGACTGAGTGGAAACTTTGGTGTTTTGGATAGGCGTGTGACTGAAGAATGTTCTTTCATCAGTTTCTCAAAGGAATCGCTGCCCTTTCCTCCCCTCCACCTCCCACTCCCCCACTGTCCATACTCCACACAGCGTGTCCTGGGCAGCCTCCCTGAGAGACCCATCTGGCCCGGGAAAGCGACTGGGGGGTGCTGCCTCACTAAACTGCTTCCCTTGTGTGCAGTCAGAGTTATTTGTATCGTCTGGCCAGAGCCGTGCGCTGCTCACTTATCTGGGTGGGTGGCTGTGGCTGACTGTAAAGCTCACCCAGTGTTTCATTTGTGCCCTGCATTCTCGCCCTCTCTTGAGGTTAAATTGCTATCATATGACAAATGCTCGCCAAATAGCTGTGAGGAAAAATGATGTGTCTCATGTCTCACGGGAAGCAGGAAAGAGCAGGTAGGACTTTCCTGTGCTGAGGGATTGTGGAGGAGCCCGGAGTTTGTGTCAGGTACCGCTTTGAAGTGTATGTGCCTACGTGGCTGACGAGTTTAGAGGGAAATCCGAGATGAAAAACCTTGGCATGCTTTAAGATTCAGACCTAACCCAAACTTCAGGTGCACATATTAAGAGAGCCACAGTTCGTGAAGTAAAAACCCAAGAAGCAAGCAGCAAAACTGAGCATCGGACTGCTCACGAGGCTCAGCGCTGCCAAGTCCAGGTGAACTCGAAGGAGTTCCTCACACCGCTCCTGCCCTGACAGCCCTCCCTTAGCACTCTGCTGAGTACGCCTTTGTGCTTTGGGATTTGTTAAAGCTGCGTTGAGTATGACGAGGGATAGTAGGATTGCCTTGTCATGAATTTGGAAAAGAAAAAGGACATTTGGGAACAGATTTCTTATAAGTAGCCATTGAATATGCTGTTTTTTGAAGCCTGAGGTATTTTAAGCCTCAGGATTCTTCTGGATATTGAGCTTCATCGGTGGCCAGTTCGGCTGACTTCACACTAGCCGAGTTCAGGCCGCCGCACTGTCAGAGTGTGCGCACGTGGCTCTCCTCCTGTCTCGCGCTTGTCACCTGCACTCCTCATTTCCTTAAGTAACGGTCGGGCCATAAAATCGGTATGGGATTGACCACGAGGAATGGCTAAGCTTGCTTACTTTTCTCTATAAAAAAAAGAAAATTAAAAGGAAAAACTAGTTATCAGTAGTCAGTGAGCTTTTATTTGAAATTGTTGTGGGTGAGAGAACCCTGAACGCAGCTGGGTGAGAGGATCCTGCTGTTCCCCTGTTGCAGGTATCAAAACCTACGCTGGAGATGTGCAGACACTGTGAGCCTCCCCAGAGCTGGGGCTTCTGCGGAAGCTACCCCCAAGGCTGTGAGCACCGTACGCTCTGGAAGGCTGCCCTCTGAACAGCAGCGGGGTCACTGGTTCCCGGGAAGCTGGAGCAGCCTCCGGGGAGGCCCCAGCCGGCGTCCCCTTGCCTGCTGGCCTCTGCGCCGCGTCTGCACACACCTCCGTGCTGCCCTGCTGCAGGGCCTTTGCTGTACGTGCCTCCCCTTGTCGCGCCCCACCCTGCACTCGAGGCCAGCCTTTGAGGAACATTCTTCCTAACAGTCTTCCTGCTTTTCCTCAGGCTTGGCTCTCGGTGGCCATTTTCAGCCCCCCTAAAGGTTTGTGAGTGCTGTCCTAGTCAGTAGTCCTCACTGTGATCTGGGGACTGTGAGGCGGCAAGCGGGGTGCTGAATACAAGTCTGAATGCAGGCCCTGGGCAGGATGTCACAGGCTAGCCTCTGCTTCAGGGGGGCTGGCTAGCTTTTAGTCCGGCCTTATGGGGTGCATTATTTTTGAACTTCAGCTTGCGGGGTCTCCTAATAGTCATCACGTCATAGTTCAGCGCTCACTGTTTTTGTAAGGTTATGAGATTTCTTATTCATCTGTAACCCACCTTTGTGGAGAGTAACACTGAAGCAGTAGATGTTCCAGAATTACTCTTTGTACTGTAACTTTCCTAACAATCTCATTTCCCCCCTTACAGGAAATGACTTAGAGGCCTTACAAATACATCTGTGCATTCTTGCTTCAGACTTTACGATTGTGGGCCAGCCCAGTCTCGAAGCACCTCTGATTAATGTTACAAGGAAACCGCTACCTCAGCAAACAGAAGGAGAGGAGAAGACTTATAATTTATAACATGCCATTTTTTTAAAAAATCGTCTTCAAAAAATATTAAAGGAAACTTGGAAGTTTTTTGCATTGAGAAGCAGCTCCACAGGTGACTGGATTTGGCAGGCAGGCTCTGTCAATTCTGCAGAGGTTTGAGCTTCCCTCTCTAGGACTTAGTGTGAACACTTCTGTACTGCTTTTTAAATTGCTGTTGATCAGCTGGTGGGTTTTTGAGTTCTAACTTTTCTGTATATTGAAGATACATTATATTACATTTTTTAAAGTTAAGTTATTTTTCTGCCATTGTAAATACAAGTATCAAAATATTCTTGCAAAGCAATTATAGGTAAACAGTTTTCTCAGCAAGCAGATCTTTCTACTAAGAGTGGAATGCTAACAGTTCTTATGTAGCATTTTGGACACACTTTTATTTTTTGTTAGCGGTCCTGCTTACCCTGAAAATACTAATTACGTAAACCTGTTGCCCTCCTCGCATCTACTTTGGCTCACATGGTCACCTGCCTCATGAAAATGCCTTTTTTAAAACTTAGATTTGCAGAACTCCACTATTTTTATACCTAGCTACAGTTTTGGGGGGAAGAAAAGAAGCAGCCCTGACCCGCCCCCAATCCCAGGGACAAGTCTCCCTCCCGCATGTATTGCTGCAGCGCCCAGGACAGTAAGATGGACTACAAGCGGCGCTTCCTGCTTGGCGGGTCCAAGCAGAAGGTGCAGCAGCACCAGCAGTTCCCGATGCCTGAGCTGGGCCGAGCACTGAGCGCCCCCCTGGCATCTACAGCCACCACCGCCCCGCTGGGCAGCCTGACCGCCTCGGGCAGCTGCCACCATGCCATGCCTCACTCCACTCCCATCGCCGACATCCAGCAGGGCATCTCCAAATACCTGGACGCCCTCAATGTCTTCTGCCGCGCCAGTACTTTCCTCACGGATCTCTTCAGCACTGTGTTCAGGAACTCTCACTACTCGAAGGCAGCCATGCAGCTCAAAGACGTGCAGGAGCACGTCATGGAAGCCGCCAGTCGACTGACGTCGGCCATAAAGCCCGAGATCGCCAAAATGCTGATGGAACTCAGCGCCGGGGCGGCGAACTTCACTGATCAGAAGGAATTCAGCCTCCAGGACATCGAGGTAGAGTATCTTCTCTGTATACTTGGGCAGGAAGGTCTGCCGGAGGTACGTGGGGATGTTGCCTAAGCTTTTCCTTGGAATGATGGTTTTTGTCGTCTTTTTTTTTTTTTTAAGATTATTTATTTAGACATACAGAACTGGGGTACAGGCCAGAGGTGCAAGGGCGGTGGGAGGATTCACCAGAGACAGAGCGGGGAGCAGAACAGGCAGATTGACCAGGTTCACTGCTGAGGGGAGCAGCGGGCAGGGGAGACAAGAGAGGTCTGCTGCACCACGTGGACTCCTCGGGGCCAGAGTTCAAACTTAAAATGAAGCGGCTGCAGCCGGTTTACAATGCTGTGTCCTAACCTGTCGCGCCATCAGGGAGGACCCTTCCTCGTCTTTTCAGTGAAACTCTCTCCTTGTAAGAAATTCGGGCATGATAGCTTCTGAATTGCTTTTATTTCTTATGAAATGGGAGTTGAGATTACTTAACAAACCAACCTATAGTTTACACGGTCCTTTAAATTTTCAAATTGGAAACTAATTTCCAAATAATACACTAAGAACATAGCAGGGATTGAGAATTCTAGATAGGATTATGAGTTTTATCTGTGAACGTTCATTAAGTAGATGCATTGGGTGAATGTAGGAACTTTCATACATGTTTATAGGATAAATTAATTGCCAGCTCTAATTTCAAAGCTATTTACATTTTTATTCAGTACTTTTCTTGGGATCTTTGGTAGTCAAATGGAAATGTCCCTTTCAGGCTCCTAGATTAGAAAGTAAGATTAGAATACAAGTTCTATTCAAAATAAAAACTTTTTTCTTTCATTTCAGAAATGGCTAATAAACTGTGATCTGTTATGTTAGTGCCACTGCTGGATTTTTAAAAATTACTTTTAACTGCTTGGAGAATTCATCTGAGATTGATTTCTCCCCCTCCCCCCCATGTGTCCTTGTACATTTTTATAGCACGTGAGAGCTCATTTTCCCATCATGGGGCTGAATTTGATTTGAGGAAATCAGCAGTCTTTCCTGAGCATAATCTAGCGATTGAGGCGGCTGAATATACTCTCAGTGCTGTGGGTGTAGAGGCAGGCTACTAAGTGATCGGACAAATTTTTATTGTTTAAAAGTGATTTTGAAGACAAAATTATTTAAAACTATTTTTGAAAAGACACAGTATTCTTGGTATAAATCGGAATCATCCAACTTTTTTTCTAGAGGGAAAAGCTTTCACTCAGGTGTGGAGGCCTGCTTGTGGGCTCTACCACATTTCTTTTTTTTTTTAATTTAGAGACGTATAGACCAGCATTGCCCTGTGGCTCTGTTGGCCAGACTAGATTTGGTCCAGGGGTTCTGGGTTGCTGACCCTGCTGATATAAATGTATAATAACCTCTGACTGCCCTGTTTTGAATCTGTGCAGGGGTGTTTATAATTTCTGAGATCACATTTTATTTTCAGGGAAATACCATTTTGAGGTGTTTATGAAGTAGCTTGTCAGAGTCGGAAGTATTTTTATAATTATAACGATAACGTGTATTTTAAAAATACATGCTTCTCAAAAGAAATTCAAGCAATAAGACTTAAAGGATGTGCTTTGCTCTCCTGTGCCATTCCTTTTCCCAGAAGAGAGCGCTTACATGGTGTTTGCATTCCAGACAGCTGTCTGTATGTGCACAGGTACGGAGTCATGTGTATACAAATAGACAGGTATTGCTTTTCGTTTGTTTTATGTAAAGAGCCCTGTTGTTCAGCTCCCGGTGTGCCTGGTCACTGCTTTGTGGAGATAGGGCACGAAAACAGGGGCTCTTTCCGTCTCCTAGAAAGTGTGTAAAATACTAGCTCCAGACGTTACAGCTATTATCCTATAATAATATGAACTGTTTTGGCTTTATTTGAAATTCCAGGCAAGGTTTTTTTTTTTTTTTTTAAGATTTATTTATTTTTGCATACAAGAGCCAGTATGTAGGCCAGAGGTGTGGGGGTCGGGGGACGATGGTGGGAGGGTGAGAGGATTCCCAGAGACAAAGTGGGGAGCTGAACAGGAAGACTGATGAAACACACTGCTGAGGGGAGCAGCGGGCAATACGGGAAGGGTCTGCTGTGCCATGAGGGTCAGCTCCCTGGCCAGGGATCAGACTCATGCTGCAGTGGCTGCAGACAGCTTCATAGTGCTGAAACTTAACCCCTTGTGCCACCAGGGAGAACTTAGGTCAGGACTTATTTGAAAAATAAGGCCAAAGTCCTTTATTTTAACCTGACCATGACTGAGCTCTTCTTAAGGCCACGTCTGTGCACGCCAGAGGAGACAGAGCTGGGTCTAGGGTCCATTTGCCCTCCAACCCACAGCCCAGGTCCAGACTAGCGAAGGACCAGGGTTTGTAAGCCAGCAGCAGGAAGCAGCCCCGGCCCTGTCCCCGCTGCTTTCTGGAGCCAGCATGGACCACTTGAGCAGACAATGGGGAACTCTCTGATTACAGCTTGGAAGCCTGACTTTCCCCCACTGAAATGTAACTGGGACAGCTGGCATACTACCATATTTTTGTGGATTGTGGACTAAGTTGGCTTCCAGAGACTAGACTGGAAACTGCTGTTGATGGGTCTTAAAGCGTCTAGGTGTATTTTAAGTTTCAATCAGCTAATGAGAAAATGAAATCTAAAATGTGGTTGCCAGGGGAGCCCTGCAGATGTGACCTTCTGCCTTTTCCACCAAACAGTCTTTGTTGTTTTTGACATTTAGGTACTGCTGTGGGATTTAACCATAGGCCAGTAAGCTGGTGTGTGTGTGTGTGTGTGTGTGTGTGTGTCTTACCCTGTCTCAATATTCTCTAGATGAAATGAATAGGCATTTGGCTTATATCTTTTTGGTCTTCTTAGGATTTTATCAGCAAGGCCCTGAGAGGCTCTGTAACCTTCATCCCTGGGGAAAGGATTCGGTGGCCTGATATTGCTGAACCTGACTGGTTAAGCAAGGACCTCTGCTTAGGAGCTTAAACTAAGAGTTGGGTGAGGAAAATACTGAGTATTCAAATGTTCGGCCATTTTAAGCCTAAGACCAAGTCCGATTCCATTGCTCTGCCCCCCCCCCAACGTCACCTGGAAAGCACCCAGGGCGTTTCCTGATGCTCCTCGCTAGCAGCCGGGGTGGGCTGGGCTCATAGAGCGACAGGTCCTGGTGCATGTGTCCCGGAATGGTGGCTGCTGACCACGTGCCCCAGCCAGGGAGGGTGGGCCGAGTCCCACCCTGTCCGTGCTTGCCGGTGACCGTGTGCCTTGCCCTCGGTGACTGCACCGCAGTCCTGCTGCCAGAGAAAGGAGTTCGGAGCAGTGGTGCTCCATCAGCCGACCAGGACCTGCGGCACAGCTGCCCACGGCCGTGCCTCAGAAGACCAGGATCAGAAGATGACCCTGCGCCTTTCTGCCTCTGTGGCCTTGAGCAAACCTGAGATCTCTGAGCTTCAGTTTGCTCAACTATAAAGTGGCATTATCACCCACCTCCCGGCACTCTTGTGAGGCTCAGAAGCAATTGGTGTAAATGAAGTTATGTGACAGGGTAGCATACAGCGCAGTCACGGGCACCATCTCCGTTTACTGTTGTTCTCCCAGCACAGCTTGAGAGATGCTGTAAGCCCTCGCTGAAGTGCCCAGCATAATTCTGTACAGAGCAACGTCAGGCAGAAGTGTGTGGCACTTAACGGGAACCCTTAGGTCGGGCAAGTTGCCACTCCAGGAACATTTACTCCGTTTCTCTCCCAGATCCTGAGGTAGACGCCTCGCTTTCCCCTCTGTGCTCTGTTCTCTCTCGATGTGGTAAAGAGCAGCAGCCTTCCCTGCCTGACGTAGGAACCGCCAGGCCCTTCTCAGCAGAAAAACCTGAGGGACCGCTTCAGTCTGTCCGGCCTTGCCCCTGGAGCGGGACGGGGTGCGGGGTGGGGGGCATGGAGACGTGCAGTACCCAGGGGCCTCCGGCAGGCTGGCATGGCTGCCATAGGTGTTTCTCCCTTGGGATTCCCAACTGGAATTTTTTCTAAAATAAGGAATATGCTTTTAATCAAGTCTTCTGTGGGAATTCATTTGGGTAAGTCTCAAACTGTCAGTTTAGCCAAAATGTGAATTGAGGGAAAATGGGGTTTCCCGTATTGAATTTGTCCTCTGTACAAAGTTTTAACATACCACTGAAACTTTTTTTTTTTTTCAGAGACAGACAGCACAGGACGTACCTGCTGCCTGTGTCTTTTCTTTGGACTTGGGATTCATTCGTTCACTTCACAAACGTTTATTACCCACTCTGTGCCTGGCCTGTTCCAGGCACAGAGGATACAGCAGTAAACAAGGCAGAAATTTCTCCTGTCATGTGGTTAGAAGAGAAGTACTGTCTTAAACAAGATGCCTACACTGGTGTCACTGAGGTCACGTTCGAGTTAGACCTGAGGAGACCAGGAGTGAGTCTGGTGGTGGCAGGGAAAGAGGGCAGTGGGCATCGAGGCAGAAGCACCCCTGCGTGCTGGGAGAGCAGTGAGACCTGAGCTGAAACAGGCGCCAGGGAGAGAGCTGAGGTGACTCAGAAAGGTACGGAGTGGCCACTCGGGTTTTACTTTGAGGGCGCTGGGCTGGCAGGGTGAAGGGAGGGCGGCAGGGCAGGACCTGCGCCCTGTGTTTTGAGCTGCGGTGCTTTTTCTTGCCAGGTTTTCTTCACCCCAAGACAGTGCCTGAGCTCTGGCTTTACACAGGGCTAGGGGCGTGCAGACAAGGCAGATGCTCTCTAGAGGAAGGAGCTTTCTAGAGGAGTGTTTCACACCTCTGAGTAGTCGTAGTGGTTTCCAAGTATCGCCACCTTGCAAACGGCTGGCTGACCTTCAGTCAGATCTCTGTGTGATTGAACTGTGGCTGTCAGTTGCAGTCGCTGATGCTACCTTTGGCATAGTATGTAATTACTGTGAATATGTTTGAAATAATTTATTTGTGAACATTGACTCTTACGACCTTACTTCAGGTTTATTAACATTTGCCT